CTGGGACTGCTCCTTCCTTACACAACCCATGCAAAAGTTATCGTTAAGCACCTTTGGAACAAACAGAGAGAGTGGGATGATCCCAACCTGCCTCCTGATCTTCTCCATTCCTGGATGCAGTGGGAAGAAGAACTTCACTGCCTTCCTAGTGTCTCTCTTCCTCGGCCTTATGTACCCCCTGCAGTTAGGACTGAGGGAGTTACTCACGAGGTCCACATCTTCTCAGATGCCTCTGAGCAAGCCTATGGAGCCGTAGCTTATCTACGTACTGTTGACCCATTCGGTCAGACCTACCTCTCCTTCCTTATCGCTCGTTCCCGTGTTACCCCTAAGAGAGTACACTCCATTCCCAGTTTGGAGCTCTGCGGGAGCTTAGTCGCAGCCCAGCTTGCGAAGTTGCTGGCAAACGAGTTGACCTTGACGATCCAGTCTACTGTGCTGTGGACAGATTCTACGACGGTCCTTCAGTGGTTAAAGTCAGATTCTTGTTGCTACAGAGTCTTCGTTGGCAATAGGATCGCTGAAATCCAGGAACTTACCGATCAGTGCTCTTGGCATTATGTTAGCTCTGCTGATAAACCTGCCGATGACCTCATGAAAGGGAGATCTCTTTCCTACCTTTCTTCCCCGAACCGGTGGTCCCAAGGACCCCCTTTCCTTCTCCTTGACCCTCGAGAATGGCCGTGCCTTCGGACTTCTGAGCCTGGTGAAGATCCAGCAGAGTTGCAAAAGTCTACCTTTTGTGGAGTAACTACCTCACCCACCGACTGTAGCGACCCTGATAGATGGAACTACCCCACTTGGATAGACCTGCTGGATGTCACTGCCAGAGACTTACAAGGTGAACCAGATTCTGGCATAGTTCCAGAAGCCACAGATTATTGTCATGCTAAAGTCCATGTCCTTAAACGCATCCAAGAGGAATCTTTTCCTGAAGATTACCACCTGTTAGAATCTGGAAAGTCAGTGAAACCTAGTAGCCGTTTAGTCACCTTGGCCCCTGAGATGGATCCATCTAATGGCTTAATTAGAGTGGGTGGTCGTTTGAGGAGAGTGGCTGACCTCGCAGATTCTGTTCTCCATCCTGTAGTCCTAGACCCCAAACATCCAGTTACTTGCCTGATCATCCGCCATTATGACGACAAGCTGCATCATCCTGGATCAGAGCGATTGTTTGCGGAGATACGCAGACATTATTGGATCCTACGAGGCCGTGAAGCTGTTCGACGGTTTCAGCATACGTGTCCGGAATGTCGCCGGTGGAGAGGTCAGCCTTCAGTGCCTCAGATGTCTGATCTACCTTCTGCCCGCCTTCAGCTTCACAAGCCTGCCTTCCATTCATGTGGGATGGATTGCTTCGGTCCTTTCCTAATCAAGATTGGTAGACGTACAGAGAAGTGTTGATGTGTATTGTTTAAGTGTATTACCACTAGAGCCGTACACTTAGACTTACTCCCTAGCCTGAGTACGGATTCCTTTCTTATGGCCCTTCGGAGGTTCATTGCTAGGAGAGGCACCCCAGCGCAGTTATGGTCGGATCGAGGGACCAATTTTCATGGAGGTGAGCGGGAGTTGCGCGAAGCATATGCTGCCTTAGCTCCTGACCTACAGTGTCATCTTGCAAGCCAGAAGATCCACTTCTGCTTTAATCCGCCATCAGCCCCTCACTTTGGTGGAGTTTGGGAGAGGGAAGTGAGATCTGTCAGGTCAGCCTTGTACACCGTTCTGGGTTCCCAGTCTGTCCCTGAAGAGGTTCTGATGACAGTTTTGTTGGAAGTCGAGGCTATCCTTAATTCAAAACCCTTGGGTTACGTGTCCTCAGACGTGGCCGATGGTGATCCAGTGACCACTAGTAGTCTCCTCATGGGGCGGCCTGATGGATCTTTACCTCAAGTCATTTACCCAGAATCCGAGCTGTTAAGTCGCAAAAGATGGAGACATTTTCAGATCTTGGCCGATAAATTCTGGTCCCGATTAATCCTTGATTACCTTCCCAGTCTGCAGACCAGGCAGAAATGGCAAGCCTCGCCTCCTGACCTCCAAGTGCATACCTACGTCATGATTGTCGACCCTCAGTTACCCCGAGGTTTGTGGCCCGTAGGTAAAGTCATTCAGACCCATCTCAGTCTCGATGGTCATATCCGATCAGCAGATGTGCAGATCAAGGATCAGATCTATACCCGACCAGTGGCCCGACTGGTTGTCCTACCAACCTTGCCTTTAGATGATCCTGGAGTCTCTAACCCTCCAGCATAGAGTCGCCTTTCCTGATTACAAAGATGATTCTCATCTTTGGGGCGGCTGTTGTAAAGGCTCCTTTAAGAGAGAGCTTTTATTCTGATATTGTATGTCGCCATCCGGCTGAGTAGTCTCGTGAGTTGAGCCGCTGCTGTTGTTGAATGCTGAATGGATGTTTATTTCTGATATTTCCTGCAGAAGTTACTTTGAGGTGTTAGTCATTGACCTACAAGTAAGCCTGTTTGCTTTATTTTTGTGTCTATGGAGATCGGTATTGAGTTATTTATAACTCCGTCACACACACGTCCAGACATGCCCACAGCCGTTGTTTCTGTTAGTTTAGATGAATGATGCTGTTATATATGTGATTATTTCGTCTTTATTGAGATGTATATCGCTGTTTTGGTTTTCAATGTTACTTTTGTGATGTGATTTGACATTTCGAGCTGTTCATGATGCCAAACGAGCGATCACTGTGATGTGCCACGATTATATCCATATATGGAGTGATGTTTATCATGTCAGATAATCACTTATGGTTTATAATGTACAATGTGATACCTTTTTTCCCTTCTTGGATTGTATATTTCACAAACCCATGTTAATGATGAGGATTTAGTATGCTTTGGCTGTCTTTATTTACCAATGGATGTTATAATTGTATATGCCTAGTTATTGTTAGTTATTCATTATCCTTTATTGTATTTCTTGTGTTCCAGACTAATGCCTCTACTGCCTGTCATTGATAATCTCCTATCAATACATTCCCTAAACCTGATCACCGGTGTCCTCATCCTTTTATAATTATTGTGCTCTAACCGGCACCCAGGGGGTTCACTCATCCCAGTCTGAATCAGATCCTGAAAGTCAAAAGTCTCTCCAACATCACTATTTTTGTGTTAAGTCGAGTTATAAAGTCCGAATTAGGAGATATAAACTTGCATTTGCGAGAAAAAAAGTCAGAATTGTGAGATAAAATAAATAAATGTTAATAGTAAGGTTTAAATAATATTTCTAATAGTAAGGTTTAAATAATATTTCATGCTGTAACTGTAGGGCTAATACAATACGTCCACTATGAACAGCATATGTGAATATTATGTAGACCTATTGTTTAAATCAAATTTATGCTTTAAAAGTAGTGTAATCATAGCAGCTTTTATCCATAGTATGTCCATTTAAACGTCTGTGTTTAGCTTCAAATGGCGTCTTTGACGACCGTATTCTATAAAAAAGTATTTGCATTCCGATCTTGACAACAAAAGGCACAAAAATCTTTTTTTCTTTTATTCCATGGATTTTACCCATTTACCTCCACTTGTTCCCAGTGTTTTTCTGCAACCACTATGCGCGCGCAGCTGCAGTGACTTAACTGTGACGTCTACTCTGAATTGGTCTATATGAGCAGCGTATTCATCAAGATTAATTTACTTGCTCGTTTTCATCACTTTCGCTTAATTCTCGGGCACTGGCTCGTTTGCTAAACTGAACATCCAATCAGATTTCTCACTCTCTGCCACCAACGTAAGCCCGACTATAGTGGATGTGTGCTTCAGTGGTTCAACTGACCTCAGACATTTCCTTTGGATGTGTGCTTCAGTGGTTCAACTGACCTCAGACATTTCCTCTTTTCTTGCAGGCTGTGGAGAATGGCAATGGCAAAGGTAAGTAGATCTTAACCTTGAAATGCTGCACTGCTATTAGTAATATTTCAGTTGTTGTGCATTTATAGTGGTTGTATGATCTTGCTCAGGAGGTCAAAGGTCTCGTCTGGAGCCAGTGGACACTATTTTTGTGAAGAATGTGAAAGAGAAAGGCCCGGCCCATCAGGCAGGCCTGTGCACAGGTAGGGAAGTATGGTATGCCCATATCTGAAATGTGTAATGCCTTTTGTCTGTTCACTTAACAGTAACCAATATGATGAATTAAAGTAATAAGCCTGAAGAAGCTGTTGTTTACAGTCAGTTTAGAACAGCTAAGGGACATTGTTAAGCACGAGCTGTTAGAAATTCACTGGAAACCACGGATTCACAGGGCTTATTGTTTTTATGCAATGGTAATTGCATAAAACATTTATTTTAATATTTATTTTATTAAAAAAGTATTATTTTGAAACAATGTCTTTGGCGCAGTAATATGCCAGAATGGTTGTAATACTGATGCAATGAGGTCACAGCTGTATGTTTCTAGAGTAATTTACAATCGTTTTGAACGCGGCTCAACCAATCATAATTCATGACTGGAACTATCCATTTTATAAGGGTGTGTTTGTGTTTAGGAGACAGGCTGGTGAAGGTAAATGGAGATAGTGTGCTGGGAAAAACTTATTCTCAGGTCATAGCAATGATTCAGAATAGGTGAGGCTATTTTAAATATTCCTTAATGAGCTTTACTTATAATTGCAAGTGGATTTATATCTACAGTGAACTTGTACTTTATAACTGCATTTGTTTGTATTTAGTGAGAATGTACTGGAGTTGTCCATCATGCCTAAAGATGAGGATGTGTTACAGTTGGTAAGTGTGAATATGACCTTTCTTTCCCTAAAACCCACACACAACTAAACAGTTAGGTCCATATATATTTGGACACTGACACAATTTCATAATTTTGACTCTGTATGCCACCAGAATAGAATTAGAATGAAACAATCAAGATGGAATTGAAGTGCAGACTTTAAACTTGGGGTTGAACAAAATATAAAATAAAACGCATAGGAATTACAACCATTTTTATACACAGTTTGGACAAATAAATATAAATATAATTCAATTCAATTCAAGTTTATTTGTATAGTGCTTTTCATGATACAAATCGTTGCAAAGTAACTTTACAGCAAATTAAGTTTTTACAATATTTAGTGGTAGCTTATCAGTGGCGACTGTCAGTTAATGTACATATGGCAGAAATGTACGGAAAAATCATCTGTCTTATCTGAATTTAATAAGAGAAAATTATTGGTCATCCAATATTTTACATTTTTAACATATTAATATGTTAAAAACTGCGCCAATAATAATAAATAAAATGTTAATTTTGTATATTTTGTTGAGAATCCTTTGCATGCAATGACTGCCTTAAGTCTAAAACTCATGGACATGACCAAAGACTGGGCTTCCTCCTTGTGATGCTTTGGCAGTCCTTTAGTGCAGCTTTGCTGCATTTGGCTGAATCTGGGCAGACAGTGTATCCCTATACACTTCAGAATTCATCCGGCTGCTTCTGTCTTCTGTCACGTCATCAATAAACACCAGTAACCCAGTGCCACTGGAAGCCATGCATGTCCATGCCATCACACTGCCTCCACCATGTTTCACAGATGATGTTGTATGCTTTGGATCATGAGCTGTTCCAAGCCTTCTCCATACTTTTTTATTCCCATCATTCTGGTACAGGTTGATTTTAATTTAATCTGTCCAAATAATGCTTTTCCAGAAGTGGTCAGGCTTTTTAAGATGTATGATCTTTCTAATCTTGAGGCTTATGAGTGGTTTGCACCTTGTGGTGAACCTCTGTATTTGCCCTTGTGAAGTCTTCTCTTGATTGCATACTTTGACAATGACATGCCTACCTCCTGGAGAGTGTTATTCACTTGGCTGGATGTTGTGAAAGGGTTTTTCTTTACCTTGGAGAGGATCCTCAGATCATTCACAACTGTCGTCCTCCATGGACGTCCAGGCTTTTTTATGTTGCTCAGCTCACCAGTGCGTTATTTATTTCTCAGAATGTACCAAACTGTTCATTTGGTCACTCCTAATGTTCCTGCTAACTCTCTGATGGATTTGTTTTGTTTTTGAAGTTGATGTGGGTTCACAAATGCAAATGGAAAAAAAAAGACAAATAAGAGAAGTTTGAGAAATTGTTTGTTTTAAAGTAAATGCACATTGTTACTGTAATTTTGCTTGTATCAATCAAATGCAACCTGATATGATTTTTTGATATTATGATACAATATTTTGTTCTAAATTTTTTTTGCTCTGTCTATACATTTAATCCAAAATTGTAACTTTTATCAAGTGAGTTAATAAGGAATAGTGCCATTAACCTCTATCTTGAAATATCAAGATAAAACATTTAGACTGATTATTAATGTTTGGTTATATTGGTTATGAGCAAACATTACATACTACAGCTGTGTGCTACATTTATCCAGTTTGATCGGAAAATCCTTAATTTGTTTGGCTGATTAATCAAAAATTAACCAAAATGAATTGATGTGAAGCATATACATTTTTACGTTTGCAATTTAAAGCAATTTAATTTAATCTGGTAATGAGAAAACTTAACGTGAGTGAGTTTAGATGAGAGATACATTTTTGTAAATAAAGATTATATTTATACATTCTATATTTTCAAGATTTATATAAGATAAATATAGAAAAAATAGAGGGAATTCCAACACCAGTGGTTCTCAACCAGGGGAGCATGGCCCAGTAGGGGGACTCAGCAAACTTCCAAGGCTTAAAATAATCTAAGTTAAGATAAAATACCTAATACATAAAAACAGGATGTAAACTGAAACCATATTTATTTTTCCGCCCTCGTTAAATATTGTTTTTAGTTCTTATTTTTATTTTTTTTGCTTGTATCAATCAAATGCAACCTGATAAGATTTTTTTTATATTGATATTATAGTTCTTTTCCCTTTCCACCCTCATTAAATATTGTTTTTAGCTCTTTGTTCCTAGCTCATTCCTAGCTCACATTAGAGACCTGCGCGGGATGGATTTTTCAGTCCCGCTCCCACAGAAATATATATTATCTGTTCCCGCTCCCGCCCGCGACATTCATGTTTTGTCCCGCTCCCGCCCGCATAAAAGTAATCTATATAGATTTGTTTTCAGTACATCGAAGAAATGTACATGAAATGGTTCTGTAATATCTCCTAAGCTCCACAACATACCAGCATAAACGCTCCAGATAAAATATTTGTTATTTAGGCTAAGCATCAACATTCACACAGTCATTCTTGAGAAGTGGGACAAAACAGGGTGCAAAATTGAAAAAATAAAACCTTGTACTTGTACAAATGAAACTACATTTATGTATCTTATATGTACTAAGCTACTGAGCTATGCTTTGATAAAACCTCCCAACTTTTCTCTTTTTTAACAAAATGTGCTTTTTTACCTTGGACTGTGTAATATAATTTCAACTTTATCTTTAACAGCATTCAAGATGTTTTTAACATTTCAAAACACATTCTCGAGTTAGCAGACAGATTACACTTTCACATGTGACCAATAATTCCACAACAAATATCAAATATAATGAAATATTATCAAAATATTCAACTGACGGAGGTGACAGAACTGACGGAGTTGACACATCTGACGGTGGTGACAAAAACCTGAATTTGTAGTTATTTTAACTATCATTGAATCAGTCAATTACTGTATTAAAACAAACAACAAACAGTGAGTATGTTATTGTTTATAAAGCTTTTATTCAAGAGTTACATTTAAGTATTTTGATATATCATTGGAACACAAAATCTTATGGTGGTGACATCTGACGGTGTTGACAAATTTGGCATTTCTTTCACAAAACCAATGGAGTTCATGTAGTAGCAATTTTATTTTTTTCTGTTGATGCTAGATGCTAATGATACCTGCTTCAGGAGAATAAAATTATCTAAATATTTCAAATAATTTCCTCAGAAATTGGAAGATGGTGTTGACATATCATGGCTGTGACAACGGAAATATTAACATTAGGATTTAAAATATTCTAAAACTATAAAACTTAGCAGAGCCTGTCTGACCCTGATGTACTCTGCAGAGGTGAACTGTGGCAAGGGGGTCCTTTAGAGTGACAGCTGCCACTGATATTCCCTGATTTTATTAAATTTTATTGCATGTCTAACGGTGTTGACAAAAAGTGGGGACGCAAATTTAAAATCTTATGAAACATACATGTGTCATTAAAAAAACAACCTTGCTTTGATAGGAGATATTATAAAGTGTTGCTTTTGATAAAGCAAGCTCTTTTTCATCATTAAAAAAAACATTTGTATCCATTTTATTGCATATGCATGTTTGAACCCTTCTCTGTGGACATTAAGAAACATAGATTTGGTATAATAATGAGAAAATGAAATTGAAGGTTATAATTGTGTTAAATACATTCTATTATTAATCCCTCATGACATTTAAAATTGAAAATATTTTTATTTTTTAAAGCTAATAGCAGTTACCCTTGCTGGACCTGTTTTGTCCCACGTCTCAAGCGTGCATGATTTGGCATGGCAGAATGCCAGCAGCGTGCTTCCTTTATTATCACTAAAAGCTGACATCTCAGTTAATCGCGATCTCATAAAGCTCTGTTATATCACATTAAATATATGCACAATGAATCTTTCACAGTGTCTACACTTCGCGTGTTAAAATGAGAGGATTCCTGAGCACGCAATTTCAGCACTGTGGTGAGTAGATTCTAACTTAATCACCTCTGATTGACCATCGCGTTCCAGAAATCAACAGCTGAGTCTGTGATTGGCTACATTGCACAACCCTTTAAACACGTGTTATAAATAGAAACTATGCCTAGCTTGCGCATGTCAATCATTTTCATGTTAATATTAGTTGTTCTTTTTGCTTTTGTGCAACAGACAAATAACAATTTGTATGTTTTAGACACTTTATGTTTAGATCATTTCTATTTCGCGGGAGTCCTGCAAATCATTTTATTCTCCCGCATCCCGCACACACACGAGTCTCTTCTCGCCCGCACCCGCACTCGCCCATCAAGAGCTGTCCTGTGACGCACCCTGTTACGTTGGGTCCCGCGGGAGTGCAGGTCTCTAGCTCACATTAATTTCCCCAGTCTCACTAGCTGTTGCCTATCTGTCAGAAAGTTGGTGATCCACTGAGAGATAGGCAACAGCTAGTGAGACTGGGGAGATTAATGTCAAACAGCCGCACCATCAGCACTGATGCCCCTCAGGAATGCATTCTCTCCCCACTGCTCTTCTCCCTGTACACCAACGACTGCAGCTCTACTGAACCCTCTCTCAAGCTTTTGAAGTTTGCGGATGACACCAAAGTCACAGCACACGGGAGACAGGAGACACAGAACAATGAACAGGAGTGAGCAACACAACGATCCGACAGAGAATGAACAAACACAAACTTAATATAAAGCACAGCTGATCAGCACCAGCTGAACCCGATCACTAATCAGCGATCATGAGTACTGAAATCCGTGTCCTCTCCATCTCGAGTCCAGAATATGTTTGACCTAATAGACAGATTCCCCTTCTACGAGATGTGGCGGGGGGTTAATTGTTGAACGAAAAACAGGTTTTAATTTGGAAACAACCCGGATGAATTCTCCTGTATACCGGAGGAAGTTTGAGGGAGGAACCCACAGACCTGCGAACTGTGACAGTACCCCTCCTGCTAAGAGTGCCCCCTGGCGCTCCGATGCAAACTTACCTGTCGATTGTAATCATCGATCAGGGAGTGATCCAATATGTCTCTTGCAGGAACCCAACTTCTCTCCTCTGGACTGTAAC